TGGCTGGTCCCTGGCTGGTTCCTGGCTGGACCTTTGCTGGTCCTTGCTTGGTCCCAGGCTGATCCTTGGTTGGTCCTTAGTTGGTCCTTGGCTATTACTTCGCTGGCCCTTGGTTGGTCCCAGGCTGATCCTTGGTTGGTCCCTGGCTGGCCCTTGGTTGGTCCCAGGCTGGTCCTTGGCTGGTCCTTGGCTGGTCCTTGACTGGTCCTGTACAATTCCTTTTTAAACAACAATCTTTGTACTAAAATATTCTTCCTGTAGTTCAGTGAAAGGTTGGAGTCGGAGTAAAAAATATGCAAGAGGGGGGCACTCCATTGAAAGGAAGTTGGCTGCTATTCGGCCGACCTTTTACTGTGAAGGGCCCTTTTCAAAGACCGCTACTTTAAAAGATTTTTTTTTTAATTTTACAAAATACCTAAAATATGGCTGTTCTCCGAGAAGGTGCTTTTTTTCCCACATCATTATTAATTATTTTATCTTTTTAGATCTTTCCCTTCATGTCCCTCATACTGTAGTCAGTTAGTAGAATAGAATAGAATAGAATAGAATAGAATAGAATTCAACTTTATTGTCATTCCACTGTCACAAGTACAGAGCAACAAAATAAATTCTCTGCATTGAACCATCCCCTTGTGGAGCAGTGGGCTGCCATTGTGCAGCGCCTGGGCAGCGGTGTGGGCTTAAGGGTCTTGCTCAGGGACCCAGAGTGGCAGTCTGTGGGAGTGGGGGGTCAAACTCACAACCTCAGGAATCAAAGCCCTATGCCCTAACCACTAGGCCGCCACTCCCTGTAGCCAGTTAATCCCCCCACCCCCACCTGTCCAGCGGGTGGTCATCCGTCTCTGTCACCGTTATTTTTGGGGTTGCAGGCTGATAAGTTGTGTTGTTCTTCGTAGCTGTCAGGTTCTCTGTTACACAGCCCTAATTTAGGAACCGTGCTGTTCGGCTTCCATTGCTCTAACGGGTTTTCATGTTAAGCTGGACGTCAACTTTGTCCTCTCAGGTAACAGTCGGGTAATGCCAAACTCTGAGTCCATGTATGTTTTTTTCTTTTCTGCGTCAGACCACAATAACGCTGCTGGACTACAGATGAAAACTCTACATATGTGCATCAGCTGGCTCTGCTCCATAGGCTCAATTATTGATGAAACCTTTGGTCACAGAAAAAATAGGCCGAGAGCGACCAGAACAAGTGGAAAAAGAGAAATGGAAAGGAAGGCCAATGTTACGAGGCAAGGAAGGGAGAGCAGAGAGGAAAGGAGGCGGTAAAAGAGAGAAGAAGAGATCAGGGTGCAGAGAGCAAGGATAAAGAAATAGGAGCCCAGCTGGATCAGCAGCATCAGATGCTTTTATTTATTTAGTTGCTGCTGCACATGTGAACTGGAGCCTCTCTGAGCCTCTGCTGCCACAGGGACACACTGTGCTGCCAGCGATGACCCCCCCACCGCCTCACAGGCTCCACCTGTAAGGATCGCTTGGAGAGACAGCTCAGTGGTTGGAGATGGAGAGGAAAACCTGCAGCTTCTCCTTATCTCTGCTTTAGGCTTAGCGCAGGGATAACAATTAAAGATCAGCCGAATAAAGAAAATCTACAACCGGTAAAAGTCTGGAGACATTTTTAATTATAATCCATTACTTTAAACAGAATTTAACACTGAAATAAAATAAGGTGTTTATGCACCCAGGTTATGCATTGAATTTTTAAATAAAAAAATATATAAACCTTTTTTTTTCCATTTTAAAA